TAAGGCTTCTGACACTGATTCCCACAACATCTTTACAGAGAAGCCAAGGAAGCATGGACTAGATAAACAGCACCAGCTGGCTGCAGAGCAGCTTCCTAGGGAAGGATGTGTGGTCATGGTGGACAAGCTAAGCACAAGCCAGCAATGCTCAGCACTGCTCATACATATCTGGGGTGCTGAGGTTAGATCTGGGCTCCCCAGTACAGGAGAGCCACAGACATACTGGAGCAAGTCCAGTGAAGGGCTACAAAGATGATGATGGGATTACAGCACTCACCACCTGAGAAGAGGCCGAGTGCTGGGCCTGCTCAGCCTGGAATAGGAAAGCTGATGGAGACATGCATATCTTATCTGACCTTATCCATGGGGGTAGAGAGGGTGTAAAGCAGTACAGCAAGCAGAGCCAGGCTGTTCTCAGTGGTGCCCAGACACCACACAAGAGGACAAGAGGAAACAGGCACAGACTAAAATATAGGAAATACCATTTCAACATAAGAGAAAGCTCTGATGAGAGTGGCGAACCGTAAGCAAAGGCTGCCCTGAAAACTTGTGGAGCCCCCACTCCTGAAGATGTTCAAAACCTCATGAGACACAGTCTCATGCAATCTGTTCTACTAAACTGTGCTTGAAACAGGGAAGTGAAAGTAAATAATCTCCAGAACCTCCTCCCAACTGTAGCAATTCTGCATGACTCTAGAGATTTCAATATTTCACAAAGAAAACATAACTTGCCTCTCAGTATCACATAAATAAGTGCGTGTAAGGGAAGATATGAGCAATCTTCCATCCAAATAATCCAGCTGAACAACCCGAGAATCTACGGTGGTTATAATCTGAACAGGAAACATCACAAAAGTAGCAGCAGCCTGTGATTAAAAACAAAAAGAAAAAAAAAAGAAAAAACAACAAATTGAGCATCAGTTTAGTGTAAAGACTATTTGAGGTTAAAATCGCAAAATTCAGAAAAGGCTCATGTATACTATGAACAGAAAGCACAGACAAAGTGAGTCAGTGCAGTTCCTCTCTTCTCTCCCTTTAGAGAACAAGGTTCTATTGCTCAGAGATACCTAACTTCGAATTCCTCTTCCACTACTGAAGTCTTAAGAAAAAAAAGATCTTATCCCATTGCATCCTGATATTTCTTGATAAAAAGAGCATGGCTTTTGTAACAGTAAGAGTGTTCTTTAATCCTCTGTAAGCTTTCTGCGATTGTCAACTGTCTCAATTCTGCTTATGGGTACTTTCAGCTAACAGTCTTAAGAGACATCTAAGGGATTACTGAATGCAAAACAAAAACAAACAGTTTCCATCAGATTTTGGTGGTTTATATCAAAACACACACTTTTTTTTAAATTACCTGTACCAAACTACCCAAATGCTCTAAGTTATACAAGCCTTCCAGTTTGCATGGGTAGCAGAACAAAGTCATCAACAGCGTTCTCATTCATAAGAAACTACTGGGAATTGCTCTTCCATTTTCTAGTGGACTGTCTCCATATCTGACAGCTACATGCTGTTATCTTTGTTTGGAATGCATAGATTTCTTGTTCTGAACAAACTGCATTACACTTGAGACTCAGCAGTCTAAATAGGCACCACCATATATTGCTTTATCCTACCTGAAGGGAATTCTACAAGACCATGCTCTACTTGATCATAGCGAACTCATTTAAGACACACTGTGGATTTGCTCAAATCACTGAAGTCTGGACAAACTTAGGTCAGAATCTCTTCACACAAAGCCTGCTGGAACTCACTGTTTCTTTGCATTGCTAAATCACACAGAGTTTTTAATGCACTAGATTCAAAATCATTTTCTGTTGAGTTACTAACTTGGCTAAAGCAAGGGTAGCAAATTTACAAGTCATCTCTTCTACTGTTATCTTAAGAGACAGTTTTTCATCCCAGCAGACAAAACTACTACAAGTTTTCCTCCATTCTATATCACTTAAACAAAGAAACTCAGCCACCTCCTCAGGAACCTCTCAATCTCAAAGAAAGTAAGCAATATTTTACCTTTCCTTGTTTGGATGTGTTAATTTTGATGGCTGATACTTTCCCCACATGATCTCCTACAAAAACACGGAGGGCAGCTGTATCCCAACACAGAGCTGTAACTTTTCTGCCCTTATGTTCAGAGGAAACATAAATCCGTTCTGGCTTCCCACGACGTTCCTGATTCAGCTCCCACACTACCACAAGACCCTGGCTGCAAAATTTAAAAGAAAACACAAGTTGAGAATAAATCTCGTAGAGGCACTCAGCGCTTTATCAGTGATAAAAATGCCTTATACCAAAAAAATGGAAAACCTATACAAGAAGTCCCCCTCAGAGCTGGCTGCGTTAGAGGCTGCATGCTCTCAAGAAGTGAAATGTCCTTCCTTGTACTACGCAGCAGCAGCAGCTCTGGTTGGTTCTTCTTACACTGACTGGTACTGCCAACAAGGATGCTAAGCTTGAGGAAAAGTGCGTATTCACATTTTGAACAATGTAAATGGTATCAGCTACAAATTTCACTGTGACAAGTCAATGAAGATCTTTCTTCCAAGGCTGAATGGACTCAGAAGAACGTTTCTCATCATGACTTTACGTGTATTAGCTCTCAAATAGGTATTCTGTTACAGAAGTACAACTTCTTCCTCAAATAATTACTCAAGATTTATTCTGTTGATGCATCAATCAGTTTTCTACCTTGCACCATCTTCCTTCAAGTTCTCAATAGACATTAATCTGAAATTTAGAAGTTATTTCACAACACTGAGCCAGCATTCAGGTTTGTAAGTTTATTGCTCACCTGGTGGCAACAGCAACATAGTCTTCATCGTGTAGACAACATGCAACTCGAGAAATGGCACCCTCCTGAAAGCAAATATAGCAGTGAGTGCAAATAAGAGATGTTCCTGTACCTCTACCAGGCCACAACTTTTATCTCTATGAAAGAACACAGATTAAAGCCAACAGCTGTTACTATTCTGGTGTGGTGCAAGTGCTTTGTTTGTCTGGATTTTGTCTGCACACAGTGAGCTTTCTCTAAAAAGGCAGCCAACAGCATGACTGGATCAAGAGAACCAACCAAATATCATCCTCCAGTGTGGAAACTTAAAAGCAGTCCCCCATCTTTGTACCTACAGGCATTGCTTTGCCAGAATTAAGCAAGATGTTCTTAATCCTGAAAGATGGCTGCATCCATGTTACAGCACAGGCAACCCAGAAAACAGAATGTAGAAACAGCAATCCCCCTCTCTTGACTTCTTTCAGAAAATAAAAAAAAGGCATACTGGCTTGCTTTTTCTTTACTTACCCAGACAGTTAACATTTTGGTACCCAGACATCAAAGTTATCCATGTGTCAGCTGCTCTGATGTCACACTGAAGGGTTTCTCTCTGACTCTTATATATTCAGGTGACTTTGAGGCTGCTGTTAACTGGAAGGAGACCTGATCTGCCCCTCAAACCACCTCTTTCAAACCCCATGCAAACCGTTACACCGCACACTGTGCCAACACCTCAGCACCGCAGCCTTTTTCACAATGCAGCACAATGAAATCTCACCTCACTTAGACAGCTCAACAAGCTGAAAGCACACCTCCCCCAGGCCTGTTTCCCCAGGTTGATCTGGTGCAGGACGTTATTCCCATACCTTATGAGTAAGGAAGAGCCTCTGCTTCCAACCATCCTTCTGGATGAGGTTCAGCCCTCCTCCTGAGGTGCCGAGAGCCAGCCACTTCCTTGACACGGTGATGCAGGTGCACTGCGAGAGAAAAGGCCCCAGTGCAGAACCTGAGCAAGAGCTGTAAGTGGCACTTTTTGTTTCTATCACAGTTCTGTCTTTAAAGAGCCCACCGCTCGCCAACTCTGCATGCTGCTCGTGGAACGCTATCAGCACAGCCAACGGGGAATTAAAATGGCGTTCTTAGAGATCGAACGGAACTGCAAAAAACAGGACTGAGCCGAAGTCGTGTCTTCTGCCCTACGAGGACACGACAAACACACGCTCGGAGCAGGGTTCTGCCTTCACTTCCTCATCTCCTGCAGCACCCCATACAAGGGAACACGCACACACCGAAAGGGACAACGCTCGGAGCTTAATTAAAACAGCAACCCACGTAAGGAAACCGCGCGAATTAACTAAAACTAAAGGCAAACCGCTCATCACACACCTTCAGCCGAGCGGAGTCCAGCCGCAGCGCGGACAGCAGCGGGTCTAAGCACTCCAGCTCCGCCAGCACGTGGCTACAGGACTCCGGCACGGCTGCGGGCAGCGCCGCGGGTGCAGCCGGCACGGAGGCCATGTGCGCAGGATTAAAGGCGCGCAGGGTTGCAACCGCACAGCGCCGGGCACCCGCAGCCACGCGCCGCCGCACGCCAGCAGCCACCGCCCCGCGGCACGTGACCCGCGGAGGGGGCGGGGCGAGCCGCTCGGGGCCGCCACCCGCTGCGTCACGCCGGGCGCGCGGCAGGAAGCTGCGTCACGCGCGCCCGCCTGGCCCGGCCACGTGACGCTGACGCGCGGCGCCCCCTCCCGCCGCGGGCCGATGCCGAGGGGAGGCCCCTCCCCCGCAGCGCGGCGGCGCCGACCTGGGAGCGGAGCGGCGGGACCGCCGGGCTCGCGGCGGGGGACGAGCGACGCCCGCGAACGGCGGGGCCGGGTGACGGCGGCGAGGGGGGGAGAGCCGGGCGCGGCGGGATGGGGCGGGGGGGCGGCGGCACGGCCGAGCCCCCGGGTGCTCCCCCCTCCGCCTTACTGTCATGGCGGCGGGGGAGGGGCCATCACGTGAGCGCGGCGGGGGGGGGCCGGCGGCGGGGGAGGGCCGGCGGCCACGTGATCGCGGAGGACGTGCCTCGGCGGCCTGCGTCCTCGTCACGTGACGCGGCCTCCCCCGCCCTGCCGGTGCCTCGCGGCCCGTTCCGGTCACGTGCCCGCCCCTGCCCGCCCCATGGCCCCAGCGGCGGCGGCGGCGGCCCGACCCCCTTAGCGCCCGCACCGCCCCGGGCCCGGCCCGACCTCCCCGCGGCCCTCAGCGCCCGCCCGCCCGGAGCAGCTCCCGCCCCACGGTAAGCAGCGCGGTGCGGAGCGGCGCGCGAGGGGCTGCGGCGGCGGGCACTGCGGCTGCCGGTGCGGGCAGCGAGGCCGATCCGCCGCGCTGCCCCGGGCCCTGAGCAGCCCTCATTGGGGATGGCGCACGGAGGTCCGGGGCGGCGAGGCGGGCCCGGCAGGTTGCGCCGTGGCCTCTGGCCCGTCCGTCACGGGGCTCCCTCGGCCGCCTTCTCCGCTCGGGCCGGGCCCGGCGCTGCGGCAACCCCCGCACAAAGGCGGCCCGGCCCGGAGCCCCCTGGCACGGCGCTCCCGGCGCTGTGGGCCGGGCCCCGCGGCGGAGCCGCTGCGTTGATGCCCCGCAGGGAGCACGGGCTGCGTGCCGCGACTCCGGCCCCCGACGCCCCGGGCCTCGCGTCTGCGGCGCGGCGTGGGCACTCGGCACCGCCGGGCGCCGGGAGCCGATCGCAGTAGTGGGGCCGACCCCGGGCTGCCCCAGCTGATTACCACCCCGAGCGCATCCCCAGCGGGCCGGTGACAGCCCTGAGGGTTGCTTGTATTCCTGCTCAGAACTCGAGCGTGACGGCGGTACTGGAGAGCTCTCGGAAGAGATCTGTGAAGTGCGGCAATGGTTAGGGAGAGGCTCTGTGTTAGAGGAAAGCTCACTGTTGGAATGTGATGGCATTTCCAGGTGTCTTCCTTCCAGAGCTGGGGAGGAGTGGCTGTAGGTGGTCAGCAGCCAGCACCCCGTACTTTGCTCCCGCGCAGACCCTGCCCGTTGCAGGATGCAGCCAATAGTGCCGGCCCAGACAGGCACGATGACAAATCACAGCCAGGGGTTAGGCCTGCTGCCTGATCCCTGTGATTTTCCCAGCCATTAACCATCACTTCAAAAATTCTGTCACTGGAGAACTTGGAACAACCTGCGTCTGGTTATCCTATTCAGAAAGATGCTTTAAACCAAAGAAATGTCTCTTCTGAAATTTGGAGTTGAATGACTCCAATGCAGCTGTCTTCAGCAGCAGACTAAAATTGCTATTAGAGCTGCAAAATAGTAGAATTTCTCCCTGTGAACATTGCAGTCCTTGCTTCTTGGAGCAGCACTGCCATGAACTGCAGCACCAATTGCTGGAAGCTCCGGAACAGTGATCAGGCACAGATATGATGATGATGAGGCAGGCAGGAGTAGCTCATTGAGGGCTTTCAGCTCCACAATGTACCTAAGTTCTGAATAAAGAAAAGAAGACAGTGTGCTGTGTGAGGACATGGCCTTCCTCTCAGCAGCAGCTAGGAGTGTCCTCGTACTGCTCTCACAGCTGGGTGAGATTCTATTTTAGAATTGTACTGGTACTTCTTGTAACAAGAGAAGCCATCTTGTTTGCATTAGTGAAAGATGGTAACTTCACTAAATCCTGATTATTGGTTTTTTTTTTTTTTTACTGATACATTGTTCAAAAGACAGCTGATGGCTTTCTGCATTTTGTGTGATGCTGGCCATGCTTGTGAGTTTTATGATCCTGCTGCCACTATTAGTTGCTGCATGAGAAAGAGAGCATGACAATGACAAGTATGAGTGTATGCCCTCCATGCCCTCCCAGCAGGCAGAAGGAGCCACTTGTGGGATCCGTGCTCACAGCCTGCATGCTGCAGGCATGGTGCTGGCAGCACTGCGGCTATCAGCGAGAAATTGCTGCTGGTTGCTGCGTGCTGCAGCAAAAAGGCTGCTTGTAGGTGGGTGAAACAGCACAGTACAAAAGCAAGGCACTCAGCACAGTGAGCCCCAAATGCTTCTCTTTCTGTTCTGTGCAGTTTAAATTCCTTTGCATTCCGTGGTTTTGTCTCTTCTGCATTTGATGATAACGTCCTTGAAGGACTGTAAAGTAAAGGGAGAAAGAAGTGAAAATCCTCAGTCTTGCATATATGGAGGTTTCTGGTCTGTTGGAACATGTGGGCAGCTGTCTCTCTCTGGTAAGGATGAGGTGCTGATGGGAGACCAGAGACCATGACAGAAAACTGCATAAAATGGGAGCACAAATAACACTGAAGGATAATACTGCTGTTGGGGAGACTGTAATGGATTGTGCTGAGAAGCTGTTGTGAAATGATGCCATGTGGTTTTCCTTGAGAAAGCAGCATTAGCAGGGCTGCTCAGCGTGGCGCGGCCTGTTGTGGTTGCTGCTGCAGTGGTGTGGATGGGAACCCCCACAGTCAGATCTGCATTGTTCAAGTGTTGGGTGAGGCTTCAGCTGATAGATGCCACGGAGGAGTGAAACTGAAGTGCAGGATCCGTTCACCACAAAAGCTTTCCATACACTATTTTACGTAACACGTTCTGATGATGGGCTTGCAGTACTGAGGAGAATGCTGTGCTGCTATACGAGCTGTCAGAGCAACATCTCAAAAATAAAAACCCTGCATACCCCCCAACTCTCTGATTTTAAATGTTCAGAGGCATCATTCTGTGCTAGGTAATATTGGTGTGATAAGCTGTACTTGCTGCTTTGATGCATGCACCAGCAAATATGACAGACTCTTAAAACCCACGAAACATACGTACTGCCTTTTGAAAATACTGTTCTGTGTTTCAGTGGGAAAGTTCATGGTGTACAAAATGCATTAATTGGACAGACTAAACATTTTCAACAAAGATGTCATTTTTTGATGGGCATGCAACAATATGTTGATAGAATCTGCTGGGCATACCTATGGTGCACTCATTCTCTTGAGAAATTCAAAGCTGTAGGGTGAAGCTGTAAAGGGGGAGGGATAATGACTGCTGGAAATGTTACAGCAAGTATTAAAAGGCTTCTGGATGTGAGACAGGTGAAAAATCCCATTCTTTTGAAGCAGATATAACATTTTATCCCTTGGTGTCTGGGGGAGAGGGGTAGGGAACTGCCCAGCTGACATTAAATGTACAGAACATTGTTGAAGCCCTCAGCAAAAAGCACTGCAGTAAGAGCAGGGTTGTCACCCAGCTGCGCTATCTTTAGTGCAGAGAACTGAAAATCCATGATTTTTCACATACCTTGTATCCCTCCCTCTTCTGAAATGATTTAGCATCTGCTGCTCATGCTGAAGGAATCGCTGCCAAATGCCGGAGGAGATCTGCAGTTTGTGTTTCTGCATAGCTTTGGTTTTTTGTTGTTTTTTTTTTCTTTTTTTTTCTGATCTGCAAATAATAGTAAGGAAACATTAAAGCTTGGTTATCAGTTTAAGGTTTGGGGGTCTTTTATTGGAGCAGGAGCAGTGTCAGCAATGAATTACATGAATTATTTAAATAGCTGGCAGTATTTTGTTAAAATAAATTTGCTAATTGTATTGTCAATGGGGAGAGCATGTCTGTCTTGAATTGTTCAAAAATTATATCGACATTAACAAGTATGTACAAGCCATAGTGCCTTGACAAGAAAAGTAAAAGAATTACAGCAAATAATAATAATAATTAGCTCCACTGTATTTTTTGATAGCTCCTTGTAGCCACAATGGCAACGTCATCAGAAGAAGTGTTACTGATTGTAAAGAAGGTCCGCCAGAAGAAGCAGGATGGAGCTCTGTACCTTATGGCTGAGAGGATAGCGTGGGCACCCGAAGGCAAAGACCGCTTCACAGTCAGCCACATGTATGCAGACATAAAATGTAAGTGAAGACTTTCCCTATTTCAGTAGGTACTTCAGTAAATAATATTTCAAGAAATGTTGACATACAACCCAAAGCATATTGCCATAAAGCACTGATATGTTATTTGGGAAGGTTGCAAGGATCTGGAACTTTGGCTGCGTTGTTCTATACAGCAGCAGTGATCACGACCATAGTGAATGATTATTGGTTTATTAAGGATGTGACAGCAGAACTTCTGTACTCTGCAAATCATCTATGCCATATGCTTGTGGAGGGAAGGGTGGGAGGAGGGTTGAGGAAGAGAGTAGGATTTTCAAACCTAACACAAAAACTATAAAGCTAGTCTATTAAATAAGTCTTTTGAGCTCTATATCTAAGGCTGTTCCAATCTGCTTATAAAATGAACGTGGCTTATATTTTCACCCAGCAGAGCATAACTTCAGAAGGGCTAGCTTCTGTAGTTTGGTCTGACAGTAATTTACCAAAGAAGCATTTGCTGCTACACAATTCTTGCAAGGCACAACTGAACAGTAAATGTCTATATGCTGTTTTTCTGGCTCCAATTATTACAAATGTTCCATGTGTTTCAATGCCAAAAAAGGAATGAAGCATGTTGTGTGCATCGCTTGTTCAGCCTTAGTGAGTACTGCTGTCAGAAGTCATACACAAATACTGCAGCATGAACAAAAGTGGATGCTGTTGCTGTTTTCTGAAATATACGTGTGATAAGTTAAATGGTCTGTTCACTCATTATATTCAGTTTTCTGAAGGCTTTATCCAGCTATTTTGCTTATGTGTAAGCAGCTTATATATAAGATGTTGAAGCGTGCAGGCAAAGAAGTCCTTATAACTTAAATGAAAGGTGCTTTTTTTTTATGTCTTTTTACAATCCAAAAAAGAAAAATGGGATGGAGGGAGGGGGGCATTCGGTCCCATTCTACTAGTTGCACTACAGAAAGGGCACAAGATTGGAAGTTAAGTCAGTGCTGTTTGCAGTGCTTTGTTGAAGTCAGTATTCATAAATGCAGTTGTTTATGATCCATAAGTACAGTTGTTCCAGCCTCTTCTCCCTCTAGTTACAGAAAAGGAAGCAGAAGTCCAGTTTTCCTTATGAGTCATTAGGGTGTAGCAGTACCTTGGAGGCATTGGGATCACCTTTTAGGAATACCTGTGGCTAACTGTGCTTAGCAAATCACTTGAAACCAGCATGCTTTTGCTGTCAGCATCCTGTTACCCCACCCTGCTTTCTTAGTGCTACTCTTCTGTGGAAACTGATCCAGCTGGAAAAACAAAAGGGGATGCTTCTCAGTGGATCCCTTCCTTGGTTTTGGTTACTGTACAAACGTTAACACCAGTACAAAAGAGGCAGCAGGAAGAGGTGGAGAGGGGACTTGAGGCTGTCACCTCTCAGCAGCAGCCTGGACTTGTACCAGCTTGAAGCCTCCAGGTGACTGGTTTGCTAACAGAGAATGTAGAGAATGCAGAGATGAATCTAGGCTCCTAAGGTGTGGTGGAAGGATACTGAGCAATGGGCTGCTGGTGGCAGTGTCCTGTATCTTGGGCTGACTGTGCAGCATTCAGACAAATTTAAGGGGAAGATGATGTTCCGCGTGCATGGCTGAAGTTCACACACAGAGTAATGATATTTAATTGGAAGATGTGGATATTTGCTTATAACCAAATACTCTAGGGAAGAGACTTTCCAATATAAGCTTGCTGTCTTTTGCTAATTAATGCTCTCTGTGCAATCTAGGCCAGAAAATCAGTCCAGAAGGTAAAGCTAAAATTCAGCTTCAGCTAGTACTGCATGCAGGGGACACAACCAACTTTCACTTCTCCAACGAAAGCACAGCAGTGAAGGAGCGAGATGCAGTAAAGGACCTTCTTCAACAACTCTTGCCCAAATTCAAGAGGAAAGCTAATAAAGAACTTGAGGAGAAGAACAGGTAAAGGGAATCTGAAAGCTGCTTTTCTTATTTCATAGTTCTTATTTAACTATAGCGTGTTTCTGCCAACAGTTGTAAAGTTGTATTGCAGCATCGTTAGTGATGTTGCATTTGTGAAATGCTTTCCACTTTCAGTTTCAATCCTCAGGGTTTATATAACTGTAACATGTTGAGACTGTCCCTGCATTCTCAGTGGCACGTTCTCAAGGTGTAAAGGCAACCACTCAGCCTTTCATACCTGAATGAGATGGAAGCACCCAAGTGGCAGTCTGTCTCTTTAGCATTCCTGAGTACATACTTACCAGTTTAGTAAGCTGCAAGCACTTAAACACTTTTTTTTCTCCAGAAGTTTTCACCTTCCTTCCCTCTGTACCCCCACCCTCCCTGTATACCCTAATCACTCCTTTCTCCCTGCCTGCCCAGATGAATCTTCTGTCCTGGTATGTTGTGGACTTCACTAAATTGGTGGGGTTTTTTTTGCTTTGTTTTTGTTTTTTTTTCTTCCATGCATCTCACTTGATATGCAATAGTTTATTATTTGGCATACAGGATGTTTATTCTAAAATAAATTTGAAGAAAAGAGTTTCAGGAACTAAGTCATTTTCCCAAAAGGGCTTTTAATATATGCTTCTTTTCCTTTGAAATGCTCATTTTAAACTGGTCCTTGTGGGCATTGGACATACGTCTCTCTGCCTCTCCAGATGAGTTTCACTGGCATCTCGTGTGAATCCTCTACCTGCTAGCTTCCATTTTCAAAGAGTGCTGTAGCTTCAAACTAACCCAAGTTAAATATTTTGGATTTTTTTTTTCTAGAAAATAGGAATATTGCTTCACCAGGCAGATTAAATCTTCACAAAGGGAAATCTTTACACAGGCAAGAGCCCTTGTGTAGTAGCTCTGATAGATATGAGTTGTTTTAAGTACTGCAGGGACAGCTAGCATCTATAGCAGTGCAAACTGCTTTGGCACTATTACCGTATGGTTTCTTTATTTCTCCTTCCTTTTCTCTGACAGCAATAATGGTGAGTAGTTGTATAGCCTTAGCTCTAAGTCCTTGCACCCCTAAATGGAGCTTTATAGTATTTTATCTTTTGGCATTAAAAGCTTTTCTGGTTATAGAAAAGTGGAAGCAGAAGAGGCAGAGTCTCTGTATGCAGTCTGTTCATTTGACAGTTGAATTCCAAGTCCAGTAGTAGGACTTGACTGCTTAGTTTGGAACAGATTAGGCCCAAAGTCTCAACCTATTCTGGAAGGGTACTGCATCCTGAGTCCCTGTGGCACTTTCTCCATTTAGTGATAAAGAGGGGTGAGGTGTGTACGAGAACTCCAACATCTAATGAGCTATTTCAAATTTAACAGGCTACTATTTGCTACTCTAACTTGTAGTTATTGTCACTAATCCATATTTCTAAGAAGAAAAATTGAATAGGAAGAGTAACATGGTGTGAAAATACACCAGGAATGTACCATTTCTATTTCATCCTACTTCACCCTCAAAGCAGCTGCAGACTTCAGTCCAAATTGTCATTTATCCCCATTCTTCCCATGTCTACATAGTATGTTCTGTGTTTTCATAAGACTCCTTTTTATTTTTTTTGTTCGCAATCAATATCCTGAGGAACATGCTTAAGCTTGTTGAGATTTTTGGCTAACTGTCCATACATATACATGGATCCCAGTAAATAACCTGCTTCACATTGGGTGTACAGCTTCATGAAAAGAAGCATACGAATCAGCTGAAGTTTCTGGTCCATACATTGTTTGCATTTTGGACAGTAAGGGTGGTACTTGTGATTTGGATTGTAGCTTTTGTAAACATTATCCCCTGGTGGATGGAGGCAGCAATACTGAATGTTTCTGCAGCACTTGTGCTGCACGTGAAAGTTAAGTGATATCACCAACAGAAATGGCCAAAAAAACTCACAATAATATGCATCTTAAGGTATCTTATCTCATGCATGCTTTGTAATCTGTACTCTTGTGCTAGAATAGAGAACTGTAGGTACCAAATTTTAAGATTTTAATCAAGAATTAGGTAGTACCCCAGTCCCCTTTTTCTACCATATGACCTTTGTTATGAAAGTTCAGGAAAGTTAATTTTACTTTTGCAGTTCAGAAGACTGCAGTCTAGGGCATGCAAAGACATGTGTTTCACAATATTTAAGGACAAGACATTAATCCCACGTTAATGCTTTCCTAGGCATTACTTTTTTCTAGCATTTAATGCTACCCCTGAAAGATTATGAACCCTTTCTTTGTTCTTTTGAGACAAATATCATTGTTGAGGTTGGTTGGTTACACATTCTTGTTAAGAAACAGAGCATTTTTGAACAAAAAGTTAGTTTCTGTTCCTGTTGTGAACTCATATTAGCTATGGAAATCCTAGCGATTTATCCTGCAGCATTTCAATTCTATTCAATACATTCTTTTACCAGAATGCTGCAAGAAGATCCTGTTTTGTTTCAGCTCTATAAAGACCTTGTTGTGAGCCAAGTAATCAGTGCTGAAGAATTCTGGGCCAACCGTTTAAGCCTGAATGCAGGGGATAATTCTGCAGCACCTAGTAAGCAGGATGTGGGCATCTCTGCAGCATTTCTGGTATGTTGAACCTCTCATTGAAAGCATTTTAGAGCAAACAAAATGGGGAAGTGAGAGTTCTGCTCCTGTACTTTATTCCTATATACTTGAATGTTCTTCTTTCCTGGTACCTCAGTTTAACGTTTCTCTGCCTGTTGGACTATTGCAAGCATCAAGGAGGAAAAAATGTAAAGGTATTGTGCATATCTGCAACCTCAAAACTGTATCGATTTAGCATGCTCAAATTTAACTTGCAACACACAGGTGCTGTTTAAACTGCTGTTCCATCTTTCATGTAATAGGATTAGTCACTAGATTAGTGTATTAATGCAATAAATTAAAAAGCATCTCTTGCAATGTCCACCTGCATAAGTGAAGCTGCAGAAAGTCCCATATGAATGGTCTTATTTTTTCCCCAGGTTTGTGCTACATGCTTTCAGCTGCTCAGAGACCCAACTTGTACATCTGAAAGCTTGTTCCATCTCTTCCCCTAACTCACAGTTACATTACCCCATGTAGAACCTCAATACAACTTAAGACACTATAACCCAGATACAGTCTTCACGTTCCTCCCCAAGGCCAATGTTTTTACACTTGCAACAAAACTCATACAGATAATGATTTGTTAACAGAAATCCCATTTCTGTCTCTGTAATGACTTGTGCACACAGCAGAGGTTTGAGTGGGAAGGAGGAGATGGGAATTGTTTTTTGACATACCTGCTATACACTCACTTCCCCCCCCTAAATAACAAGAATTTGAGCGTACTGAAAAAAAGAAAAAATCCAGAATATGTAGGCACTTGCTTTCTCCTGTTACAGAGAACTGTGCTTACTTGCTCCAGAAATTCCTAAAGAGATAACTCTAACTTGCAGGTTCTAGCTAAGGCAGTTTTTAAGTTCAGTGTTATTTATCATTTGTACTGAGATGCTTTTAATATATAAGAAAAGGAGTAACAGCCATAAACTATTATTGATTCTTCACTAGATGAATTGTTGAGTAAACACCAGAAGATTAGGCATACACAGTACATATGCCTATTTTTACTTGGATATATTTAAACTAACTACCCCTCTTGATTGTTTTTCTTTTCATCTTTAAAACTTAGTCTTCTTGAATCATCCCTTAGGTAGTAAGTATAATAAAGTAATTAATGCATGCTCTCTTGTGTTGTGTTCTATAAATATCTGTTTATGATCAAATACGCTATGGATTATTATAGGAAAAATATTTATCTACAGCAGAATTTAACTGCAGGATGCCAGTATTTTCTTTTCCTTCTCCGTTTACAGAAGATATTCAGACTTAAGCTGTTTCTCCTCCCCATGTGCTTATTCTTAGGCTGATGTACGACCTCAAACAGATGGCTGCAATGGTCTGAGGTACAATTTGACTTCAGATATCATTGAATCCATATTTCGAACATATCCTGCAGGTAAGAGTAGTGCATTGCTTGACAAATACATTCACGTAAGATTTGTTTATTACCACTTTACTGCAGGAAGTCAAAGCCTTGAAGTATAAAGGACTGTGACTTCTCTTGGATGATTTTTCCCTACCGAGTTTCCTTAATTTGAGGAGGGATGGGAAGAAGCATGTGCTAAGATATGTTTCAACTAATGAAATTGAGTTTTCATTTCAAAAGCATTTTAGTTTGTTCCACCTACTTTTCTTTTTAATTGTAAGTAGAGATTTGGCTCCCACGATATTCTGTACTGAGAATTTCAATTCTCTGGAGGGAAAGAGTGATTTCCACCTTTCCCTTGCACTATACTGGACACTGACACTGGTTCATTTGGGCAGTAGGTTAAAAATGCTAGATCCATTTTGAGAATAACTAGAATTCTGTCAAATAAGACTTCTTGTGTGAGTGTAATTTTAATTGGAGTATTCAAATTTGTGATATGCATTTCTTTTCAGAGCATTAGGTAGCATTGCAGAGCATAGAAGAGTACCCATTAGCTGGTGTTTAACCTCTGCATTCCCTTACACTTAACTGGCATGAATGACGATAGCACCAGACAGAAAGCTAGGAAGCAAGTAAGAAAATACTAAGATAAAATGCTGTATTAAGATTTGCTGAACACCTTGTAATCATTACTTGCTTGTTCACAGTAAAAATGAAATACGCAGAAAATGTTCCACATAACATGACAGAAAGGGAATTCTGGACACGATTTTTTCAGTCTCATTATTTCCATCGGGACAGACTCAATACAGGCTCAAAAGACCTCTTTGCTGAATGTGCCAAACTGGATGAGAAAGGTAAGCTTTGTGACTTGGTTACTGCCGTAGGCTGTTAGCAGTCTTACAGAGCAAGAGAAACAGCCAGAACCCCTTGCAAAGGTGAAGTCTACATTTTCTTATGTCCATTTATTGGACATCTTGTTAAAGGGAGAGGCAGAGATTGTCACTGGAAATTGTCTGTAGCTTTGCTATTCTTAGCCTGACAACAGATGCATTCCTCAAAATAAATGGGGATGTGCTAGTACAAGAAATACCCTTTATCACAACTCATGCAACAATAAATTATTGATAAATTCCAGTAATTTACCATTGTGATGCTTTAATTATGCTCAGCTATCAGTTACTACGGAATAAATTGGTTTACATAAACCTTCATTTTGTGGTTGTGCACAACTTACAGCCGGTACAGCTTTTATAATAAATGGAGTGTTTAGCAACAGAAAAACATGGATCCTGTCCCATATTTTCCAGAGGAGTTACCATCCCTATTCCGTCCACCTTTTTAAGAGAAACTTAAGTCAGATGATATTTAATCTGTAAAGTTTTTTTAGTCATACAGACATGTGAAGAGGTAAGATCACTTAATGCTATTCCTTAGTATGTGTTAGAATTCTGACAGGATATGGATTGTATTAAGAATCCACAACCCTTCACAAGGAAAAGCTATCTTAAGTTACCATTCTACCCAAAGCAGCACAGTAATACAGTGCCAGAATTCAAAGAAAAATAGTCAGCCTTCCCAGTTTCTACTAACAACTGATACTAAAGCATCCTCCATTTTAATACAGAACGGTGTATACTGATGAGCAGAAGTTGATGAGAGCTGCTGTAATTAGGAGGCTGATCTCTTACAGTGATTTTCCAAGTTTATTGCCTATTTTAAAGGGACCTTCATAAAGGGTTGAAAGATATAATCGGTGATATTTGGGTATATTGATTTTTAAAGGTTAAATAATAGTCTAATAATCCCATGTTTGTGTTTGTTTTTTTTTTGCTATCCCATACAGGGTTAAAAGCAATGGTGTCTCAAGGAGTGAAAAACCCTATGATAGATTTAACAGCTTTGGAAGACAGAACGTTAGATGAAGTAAGTAGTTGGTAAAAACAAATTTAAGGGGAAATTGGGTCCTTCCTGTTCAGATTACTACAAATGCTATTTCTAAAACACATCACTTATAAAGGCTGCTGCACTTGTTCAGTACTTAATGTTTACACAGCTGTATGTGTGTGAGGAACTGAAGCCTGTGCCCAACTGCCTGTGTTAATGTGCTGGGCACACTGCAGCATCTCTCACTTTTCAAAATGAGTTCTTTCACTTTGTATGGCTGCTTTTTTTTTTTCTCTATAGCAGATTCTCTCTGGCTTCTTCCTAACTTTTAGAACCTGTGGTCACATGCAGAAAAGTAACAAAAAACAGGAAAAAAAAGTTTTAGCTTTTCTCCTTACTTTGAGTGTTGCTGTCGCATTCTGCTTAATTTTATGCTTGCTTTATAGAATTTTATCTAGATTTAATTATTGTATTTTGCAAAAAATATCCTAATATGAAATAATTTGCATTTAAGTATAAATTAACAATTTTTATAATCTACCACAATATGAAATATTTAAGGATACAGTTTTCTGCAGCTGGCTTAATTAAACCTTTGAGTTATAATTAATAATAGTGCTTTGTTTCAAAAGCTGCTTTTTTTTTTCTTGAGTTGTACAGAGCTATCAATCCAAAACTGGAATAGGAGTCAAGAATAAGCATGTTTGAAGTGCTGTATTTTGCATTTGATGCTGGTTAATTGCAAGCATGAAACTGAGTACAGATTAAAGTGAATTACTTTCAGCGACTTGGTAACTGGGGAATGCTGCCAGCATTAAGGCTTGAAGTTTCTTGAATTCTCAGTGCTATCACATCTTCCTGACACTTAACCTGTGGGCTGCTGGTGTTCCACAGGGTGTTAAAAAGAGTCATAAATCAATTGCTAGTTCTCACTTGCTATCAGTATCTGTTTCATACAAGTGATTTCCTTTTTAAGATAGTTTTAATTTACAGATTATGTAAATTAAAATCTGTTACAGATGAACAGATTATAGTCCTATAAAATCTATGTTTGAGATTTTTTTCTTCTTAAGATACCTCTGAACTGCCATGTCTTAGCAGAATAAAATGATCTCTGGAGATTTTTTCCCCAAAGCACCTGGAATTCACGGTCAGGGGAAGGTAAGAAAATGCTGCTTCAGATGATGATACAGTACCAGTAAGACTCAGAGGAGATGGCATGCCTTCCCGACTCAATGGAAAACACAGAATGGTCCTCTTGGTTCAGGAGGAGGAGGTAACCAGTGTTGTTCTCTTTACAGGGCTATGGTGTTGCTCCTGTGGCCTCTACATCAAATGCCTCAAAAACTGCTAGAGAAAGTAGCAATGCTGCCATTATAAAACGCTTTAATCATCATAGTGCCATGGTCCTTGCAGCTGGCCTCAGAAAACAGTAAGTTTCAATGTTGCCTAAAAGCTAAGTATTTTTAACAAATTAAAGAATTTCCAGAAGGAAAATACATCTGCTGTTACTCATCCAGCCCTTTTCTGTAATTTTTATGAATGAACTATTATGTTCTGGAAATAGAAGTACTATTAGGTTCTATTTTACTTTTTATGAAGTTCTTCAGATCTGAGATGACAGGTGCTATTTTTAGCTGAGTTGCTCTCATACTGTACAAACATTAAAAAAAAAAAGGGAAAGGCTGTTTCTGCCTCTCTTCTCTATCCCTGCTGAAGGCTGCATCAAGGGGGAGATCTGGTTCAGGGGCTCCTCCTGCCACCTTCCAGGAGTGAATTTGTTGTGGCTTCCTATAGTGGGTTGTATGGGAGGAGGCAAATGAGAAAGTAAAAACATCAATGTGACTTGTATGGATCAGATTAAAGGTTTACCTGGGGTAGCATCCTGTCCCTGACTGACTGCTGTAGTTTAACCCAGCAGCTGGCTGAGCACCACACAGTTGTTTGCTCACTTTCCCCCTTCCCAGTGGGACAGGAGACAGAACCAGGAAAAAAAAAAAAAAAAAACTTGTGGATTGAGATAAAACTATTTACTGAGATAGAGTTTAGGGAAATAGTTATGAATATATATATGAATGCATACAACTAGTGGTACACAAACAATTGCTCACCACCCCCAAACCAATGCCTACCTAGCCCCCTGATAAGCAGAAGAGAGGCAGATGAACTCCCACCCCCTTCAAATCTCCTTCCACATGATATCATAAGGTATGGAATATCCCTTAGGCCAGTTTAAGTTGCTGTCCTAATTGTTTCCTCCCAGCTCCTCAGGTTCATTGCTGAGAATGGCCTTGGCTCTACAACACTACTTAGCAGCAACTATAAACATACATCACTGTTACCAACGTTGTTTTTGTCCTAGAACCAAAAACAGTGTCATATCAGACGTTCTGAACACTTCTATCCCAACTGAAATTAAGACAATGACCAAAAAAAGTGTCTTATCTGGTTACACATATTTATAGTAAAATCCACAGCTGAAACTTTAAGAAAAAAATGGGGGATGAATTGGGTTTGATGTGAGGTCAGTTGCACAGCTAGTTTACAACCACCTAAATAGATTACTACTGTATCCAGGTCCTACAGACCTTACATGTGAGAGATCTTAAATACTTTCTTCTGTGTAGCTGAGCTCCCTAACAACGTTCTCATCTTTTCCAAATTGAACAGCGGGTCTCAGATAATCTCCTTCGGATAATAGATGTCTCTACTCCTCAGTTTTGAGAAGAAAAAAAAAGTAATTGTTATTCTGAAACAACAGATTCTCAGAGCTCCCATAGCCTTGCTAGTGTGTGATAGGCATAAGTATGTATGCAAATCATTTGATTTTCATGATTTTGTCATGTCCCACTTCCACTGTTGGCAAGCCACTATTTCTGCAAGGAAGGGAGAAATACCCTTCCCTGCTGCTGAGTTTCCTCCTGGACAAAGCATTATTTGAGGTGTTGGTTCCATTTATCTACATAAACTTCTTCCAGTGAAGACACAAGGGGGGGAAGCTGGTGTACAGTATAAACATTTTTGAAACATAAATTTACTTTGTCTCTAGCTTATGTCTTAAGTTTCCTGTGAGGTGAATTCTTAATGCTGTTTCTCTATTTTAAGAGAAGCACAAAATGACCATTACAGTGAGACCAGCAGTACGGATGGAAACTCCAGGGATTCAGATTTCTTTCAACCACCCATGAAAAAGGTATAAAGTTAGATGCCATTCTAGTTGAAAGGAATTGGATGTTGTCTCTTAAAACATTGCTGAAGGTTTATTATGTGTTTTAAGCAGCACCTAAAACAATACTTGCTACTCTGTATACTTCTAAGCTAAATAACTAAGGGCCAGTGAGAAGCTTTGAGAATAAGAAACATCTGTTAGTAGACACAACTACATTTCAGTATTGTCCTGTTGATCTGTTTAGTAGGGCCCCCTGAAACAGTTTCCAGTGTGATTCTGATTAGACATAAGTATTTTTTTTCCCATACTGTGCAGTTGTATTTTTGCTGTTTGCCTGAACAGTTCTAGAGAACAACTAGTTGAAAGGAGTATGGGTGCCTGAGAGTCAGTATTAACCTATCAAGTGTACATTTGTATAGAGAATGATTGAACTGACACGTAGCAGCCTTCATCTTAAGGTTAGAAGCTGGAGGAAGGTTAAACAAGAGTGGTGATGCTTAGTGCACTGAAATAGAGCACCAGCCTGTTTTAGAGCAACCACAGCAGCTCGCAAAATGGAGAGAAAGTACTGTGATTGCTGCGAAGATTGAATACTCCTTGCTAGAATTGATGGTTGAAATAGGTTGACTCAAACCTTTTATATATTGCTAAGAAAAAAGCGTAGAACACATGTTATTAAATGTTGAAGAAGTCAACAGCTTTGACATACAAGAAAGTTAGTTTTAGTTAGTTAAAAGGATAAACATACCAGCCCTGGAACAAGTGATGATAAGAGGAATGAGAAAAGAGCATAACAGTAGGAGGCTCCAAAGGTAGGTTTCTCATTCTTTGAAGTTTATGCTGTCCTGTTACCTCTCACCACTAATACTCTAGCTCTGCTGTCACCAAACACCTTGGATAATTATTGCTGCGTCAGTCCTATACTCCTGGACTCCAGCAATTAAATTATTACTAGTTCTGTTTACATAGAGGTAAATGACTTAAGTAGAGAAAACAAAGAATGGTATGTATAGCAGAACATTTCCTGGGAGTAGCAGGGACTGCAAGTTTTGGTGACAATCTACAAAAAAAGCAGTAATGCCAAGACTAACATGTACAAAACTGTACATGTTAAACAACATTGGTCACACCTCCCTCAAGAAGGTAGACACAAACTGTTACAGGTAATTTTGTTTCATTAAGGTGCGTCTAAACCTTTCACTCAAAAAAATCTGAAGTGAGAAGAAAAATAACACTAAATTCATCAAATTGTGTTATTAGTAACATCTATAATTCTTTGGCTTATTTTAGGTGAAACTACAGGAATCCATTGAATATGAAGATTTAGCAATGAATAATAGCACTAAAACTATTGCACTAAATTTAAAGAAATCTGACAGGTAAGTTAACAGTAAATGCTGTCTATTTCAGTATATTTGATATAGCAAGTCTCTCATCACAGCCCAAAGAGAATCAGGAAACGTAGTTCCCACTGTGCTATACTCAGCCAAGCACTTTGCATTTAAATTTGTATTTTGATTTCATTTTGCTTTTCAGTGAGTTTCTGTAAACCTACTGGGAAGGCTTTGACATGCAATTTCTATATAAGCCTTAAGAGACTGATTGTCATAGTTCAGCTCTTTGCTGCAGCTCATAGTAGAAAAATGAATGTGATATGTACATTTACAGTTCCAAGCAAAACAAGCAGCATTGGGATAGCTTGAGTTGGTCATTGGTCTGTTACTGTTCTAGTAATTGTTCTCTAGTTTTCTAGACCACTAAGCTTGAGAACCATAGAGAAGGACATGCCACAAGAAAGACAACCAATTAAAACATACATGTTACTTCCTTTGTCTGAGGTTCAAGTTGGTGTGAAGTCCTGTGCTACAATGCTGTTCCCAAAACCAAGCACAGTGGATGGCAGAGTTTTTCATAAGCTTACTTGCAGATTCAGTGATAGAAACTGCAGCCTCTATTGCTGCCATACCCTTCTCTCTTCCCATATGGCACTGCATTTTACTTTTTATGTCAGTAAATAGGATTTAGGTAGCAATGTCAGCAATTGCAAAGCATCCCAAATTGGAAATATTTCTACTGTCCACTGAATTTAGCATCCATTTTATGAACACTCCTATCAATATACTTTTCTCCTTATCTCACCTCACAGGTATTATCATGGTCCAACTCCAATTCAATCACAGCAATATGCAACCAGTCAGGATATAATTAATTCTTTTCATAGTATTAGGCAAGAAATGGAAGCATATGTACCCAATCTAACTCAGGTATGTAAGAATTTCCCAGAAATTCCTTTCTTGATGTTAGCATCTTCTTTCTGTACATTTTTCTGTCTCTTGACTACTGGAGTTTAAATTGTTCAAGGTAAACTTAATTATCTCAAATAGTTTAATGTCACACTTATTTTTCAACTTCAGGTGGGGTACCTTTTTAAATATTGTGTTTAAGATCTAAACATGAAAAAAGGAGAGAATTGAAAAAAGAAGCATTTCTGATATTCAGTTATATTCTACTGTTACCATGTTCTTTTGAAGTAATGGTGAAAACAAAGTAAAAAAAAAAAAACAAAAAAACAGGATAGCTGACCTGAAGTACTGGCAAATATTACTGATCCTACGCTCTGAACTTTAGGATGTAATGGTCTTAAGTCATTGTATGCAGTATATAACTGAATGGGTCGTTGTCCCAGAATGCATTTAAGTGTAGGACCTGCTTTTCATTGGGCTGCACTCTTTCCTGGCAACTTGAGGGCAGCAGAGCCACCAGGTGATCCTCACCAGCCAGTAACTGAGCTTTCCCTCTTCGTAAACCCATGTTTGGCCCTAAGAGAAGGAGCCACAGTTGTGGCTGTGGTGCATGTCTGTATTGTAATGATCAACTTTGTCTCATTTTCCACCGCCAGTTCACATACCAGGTAAAGATTCGTTCATAATTAATTGGGGTGCTTTCTCTGAAAAGAGAGTGAACACTTGCATTTAATTCTGCAGTACAGGAAGCTCTTCATCAGAGCTTCCATTGTACGTTCCCAATTGTATCTCCACAGTTAGAGCTCACCTATGATTTGTTTTTAAGACATTGCTGCAAAAATTTGTTCCCTCTTTGCTTTTAGGTTCTTTCAAGTGGTGATGCTACTAGCACTATTGCAGTCCTGTCACCTGGAGGAGCACTTATGCAGGGTGGAACACAGCAAGCCATAAACCGTAAGGATTTGAGATATATAATACTTCAATCATTTCTTATTACATTACACAGCAGTTTGCTGTTTTATCTCCCTCTCAGACTATGTTACACTGATACATGAAATTTTAAAAACCCTTAACTGGAATAACACTGGTTAAAGAAACAAAAGCTAAGCAAAAACTCAGCCCAACTAAGAGGTGGAGCTGGCTAAAACTGTGCTGTGGCAAGTAGGTGACAGAACTTCACAGAGCAAATGAGAAAGGATGCATCCAACACTGACTCCTCATACAGTTGATGGGTTTTGTGTGTAGAGAATTTTTATTTTGTTTTTCCTCTGTATTTTAATAATGACATACTTTGAGAGAACTCTAAGGAAGTGTACTATAGATAGGAGTTTTGAACTAGTGGAAGTTTTTTTTTGCAGCCTGAATTAGAATCCACAGCTTGCTGAAAGAAGGATGACCTACCTGTGGACTGCAAAGGCAAACAAGCAACCCACCCTCCTCTCATCTCCAACTAGCTACTTCATCCCCCACTGTCACATTTATGCCACCTTGAATTCCCTTCCCTTTTATCTCACAGTAGATGAATTTCTGCCTTCACAAGGCAGGGTTTAGAATAGTTTCCCTGTGTTTTGTATTTGATCTGAAGGATAGCAGAGACTATTCAGACAGCTGAAAAAAGTATGCATTCCTAGAGGTAATAATTGGAGTCAAGCAGTAACAAAGCTTTCTTACCCTCCTCAGCTGACATTCCCCTTCAACCCAGACCACCTTTTCTTTTAACAGCCTTATCCTAGAGTTCCCTTTGTACTCTTTAAGTGACTGCTTCTGTCTTTCTCAATGACTGTGGGTTGTTTGTTGTGGTTTTTTTTTTTAAGGGTTGTGGTGCCCTCCCTGTTTTTGAGCCATGTCACCATTTTTACTTTAAGACACTGTTTGAAAGATAGTTCCTTGTTCCTTTATGTGCTGTATCTGACAAGTGTCATTATTGTTTTCTCTTTGCCAGTGAGAGAGGGAAAAGAATTACAGTAGCTTGCATTATCTGCTGTACAGCCCATTTAGTACTAGACTTTGAATAGAACTGTCAGTACTGCCCATTTACTTTCTAATTCTGGATTAAAGCATGATGTCCATCCTTTGCCTGGCATATATCTGCCCGAGTAATATACAAGCTTCCACACACACTAGCCATAATTAAGCAGGTGACTTGATCTAATACTGCTGGCACACCTCCTTCAGGTGTAAAGCACCTCAAGAGTTCCCTCCCAGCCAGCCTTTCTGTAATTCTAATAAGAAATGTGTATTACATCGTTCCTCCATTAGCCTTACCTTCTCATTTTATGTATCATAGTTTTGAGTGATATGGAAAACCCTTTTTTTCCTGTTGCAGAGATGGTGCCAAATGACATTCAGTCTGAACTAAAACATTTATACGTAGCAGTAGGGGAACTGCTAAGACACTTCTGGTCCTGCTTTCCTGTTAACACGCCATTCCTAGAAGAAAAGGTAAGGCTTCCTCATGTGACTTTGGTTATGATATGGCCAGATAATGGTTTAAGATGACTGTAATTAACTTGAAACATAGAGCTAATACACACACGTTAACTGAGCTCATCCTTAGTGTTAAAGGTCACAAAACTATATAAAACATTACATTTTTCATCAGTTCTGCTGGTGTTATTGGCTACAGTCATCCATCACACTGCATACCTCTTAACCCCCAGTAGGAGCGTTGGCTGTTTGCTAGTTTCTAACATAATTGTCAGCTGTATGCCAGCCACAGATTTAACACTGCCAATTTAAAATACAAACCACAGCCCCCCCTTCTTCTCTAAGACATAACTGCCACAATAATGGTTACAGGAAATCTTCCTTATCCTTCTGTCCATTGTAAACTCAGCTTCAAAATCTATACTGTTAGTAAGAACAGAGTGCCTTCATCTTTGATTTTTCTGCTGCAAAATGTGACCAGAAAACTCACAGTATGGTCTTCGCTTGAAGCAAAAAGGATATTTTTGTTAACATCTTATCTGTTTTTCTTGCTGACAAATAACAATGACATTGCCACACTGCGTTTTCAGGCACATTGCACTTGCCTCAAAAAGAAATATGCTCTTAATTTTTAAGTTACAGACAGATGATTTAGGAATTTTTCTTCCTTGAATCATACACATTTCAAGTATGCCCCAGAATTATTTACAAAGTGTTCTGTGCAAATGATTACAAGATTGGTTCCTGTCTTTCAGGTTGTGAAAATGAGGAGCAACTTGGAAAGATTTCAGCTTACAAAGCTCTGCCCATTCCAAGAAAAGATTCGGAGACAGTATTTAAGCACAAATGTAAGGGAAAAATACTCTAATTACAATGGTGCATGTTAATAACATGAAACATAATTATCAAAGGATGGTGGCTTTGTTTGCTTCTTATTCTGGATCATCTTAAATTTGTTTACTAAGAGACTGGCAGAGGGAAATTAGTTACATAATTAACTATTCTCTGACTTTCCTTTTCTACACTGCTGAATAGTAGATTACCCAGCAGAAGACAGAAGTCATATTACATTTTCTACTTCTGTCATGAAGTAGACTTCAGCTACTTCAAAACAGCCTCCCACCATACCAGATTTGAAGTGGTCATAGGCTAAATAGTGGAAAACACCACAACCAAGTGTTATTTCCCTGAACCTTCACAGCTTAGTCAATCTGTGAATTACTCCCTCAACAGTAGAGCTTCAAAGTCCTTTCTCTGTAATCTGGCATACCCCCTAGATCTTAGTGAAATTACTTCTAGTGAATGAAGGGAATAATCCAACTGAACATGTTTGATCAAAGGAAGGGTGATCTATTCTCCAGTAGCTGTGACATTTACTTCCTTTTCCCTCTTAATCTTGCAGTTGATAAGTCATATAGAAGAGATGCTGCAGACAGCCTACAATAAGTTCCACACGTGGCAGTCCCGGCGTATGCTGAAGAAGACGTGAGAGTGCATGCTGTACAGGTTTGAGAACAAAAGTCTGCAATAGGGATAGGAGTACAACCTAGCACATGTGCAGATCTTATAGTTGTTGCAGGAAGACCTGCAACCTATGGACTTCTGGAAACGATGCTAACTGAACTTGCACATTTTTTTGAAAAAAAAAAAAAGAACTGAGATTAAACTTGAAAACTAGGGAGAAGAACAAGAACGAACCAAAACAGAAGAGCTGAGGCGCAAAACTATTTAAAAGACACTGTTTACTGCAGTTACTCAGGAACTGCTTTTGATTTGCATTAAGAGCTGCTTTCGGAAATAAAAAATTTAAAGAGGGCGTATTAATAAAATCTGTTTTTGTCTAATTTTTTTTTTTTTTAAGAAATGTATGGCACAGGGTAGAAATCAAAATGTTTTCACTGGATTCTGACATTTTCTTGACTTGTTTGTATCTTCTGCAACCATTTAGCAACTATTTTAAAACAGTTGAAACTGGTTTTACTTCAACCATCCAGGAGAGTGTAGCTGTCCTCAGATGAGCTACTGCCATGTTTCCCCCCCTCAATTGGAAGCAAGAGACATTGCACTGAAAGCTGTTCATGATCTGGGGCCCCTAAAGGCACATGGGGTCAAACTCTCACCTGAGATCTTGGATTTTTATGCAAAACTTTTTCAGCCATCCATTTTGCATGTTTTCCTCTGAGTACAAGTGTGTGCTACTGCAGTCTTTTTTTTTTTTTTTTTTAAAAGGTGGCATTTGTTCTGAGGAAAGAATACTTTTTTTTAAAAATGAAATTAAATAAAGTTTCTTACAAAAGTCACTTATTTTCAATCATTAGACTTCTTGTTTATAATTTCTTCTCCTAAATCTGTTTTCTTTCACTCTCCCCATTTGACTGTTAACTATTTTTGGCGAATTGATAATCGCTGCAGAGAAAAAATGTGATTTACAAAATGTCCATAAATATTGGGAATCTGTGCCATACTTTGTTCCAAATAGAACCAGTTCACCGTTTCAGACCAGCTTGTCTTGTATTAAATGTGACTCAAATGCAAAGTAAACCTGTTTTCTATAATATATGCAGTTTAATGACATCCTTGTATTTTGCTGTCATCCTGACTGTACTAAGGCTCAGTACAGGCTACTGAATTTTTTTTTTTTACTTCTAACTAAATGTGACTGTTAGAGTATAAGATGCATTTACAAAGACAAATCAGAATGACAATTCTTATTTAAAGCAAGCACAGCAGAGTAAGACAGAAGAAATCTCCACTAGCTTGCATAATGACTTAATACTGGGTTCTGCCATCACTAATATGATGTTAAAACATTACAGTATGATGCCAAGTGGAGGATTGTTGCAGATGTATTTGTATAGCCACGTCTGTGCTTGTTCTGTGCTGCTGCTCCATTTATGCAAGAGGGGCTTTTCTTTAACTGGTGCATGGAAGGCAGCAGCTTCCTTGTTTCCAGTGTTCTTGGATTTTTGTATTATGCTACTATTTTGATAAAAGCTGAGTTTCAGTTAAATGTCACTGCACCAAATTCTGTCTGGAAGTGTACGCATATTGTTAAGCCCAGTTTCCTGGTCTGCTTCTGCAGATAGATGCATGATACCTGCTCTGTGACGTAATGTGGTTTGCTACAAGAAGCAATGGCTCTGCAAGAGGAACACACTTTTTTTGGCACAGTAAAAGTGTTACTGGGAATAAATGGATGCATGAGTGGGAAGAGGTGCACATCTTGTCAAGGTTACCTCTTGAAGTAGATAGTTAGTGTAAAATCTAGACTTAGAGTAGGGCTTTATTAAGCCTAATACTCTTAAAAGTGCAGGCAGTTCACAGAAAGAAAGGGTAGTTTTTGTCGTCGCCCTCCCCCCCCATTCCAAAGCATTTGATCTAGAAATTTTGTGGTCAAATTTCAGCTATATTGTGAAAGCTATCATTGCTTTCATCATTATCAAAGGAATACAAAAAAATATCCCATTTGTGTTCTAACTTTGCCTGAAGCTACAAACAGATGCGAGTATTCAGCTTTGCAATAATTCCATTTTAAAACCAGGAGTTCTATATTCAGGAATAATTCACCTTTGAATTGGATCAGTATTTAGCATTCCTGGAACACTGAACAAAACACTTAGCACAGTGCAGAAAGTTTCAGTGCATCACAAGATGACATTACAGTTCAGAAGACTGCAGTCATGATGGGGGATAGTATTGCTATAGCTTTAAATTATTGGCGTGATATCAGGCTATCAAAATATATCTTAGTTACTAGAACTGGGGGGGTGGGAGGAGAGGAGGAAGATAGTGAATTCAACAGTTTTGCCTAGAGACTGCACAGGCAAGGCTGCTATGCACTCATACTGCTTTTTCAGGTATTGTGGCAATAAGGCACAGGCCCCTCCTGAAATAAGGGAGGTAAACTGAATTATCCTTTCTTCTACATACCTTCTCTGTAGCATGGTCCAAATCCTAGATTCATTCCTTAAGTTTTGAAACAGAATCATCATGCATTATATTACTATTGGAATCTTTATACTGACTTGTATTTTTAATGAGAATTCATAAAACTTGTATCATTGGCATTGATCTAAGATTTGTAGAATAAACCCTACTGAATTCTAAAGTCAAGTGTTCTCTAGTGCTTAGGTTGTGTATTTTCTGATGTTCTGTTAAACCCCAGTCTACTCAGGCCTAAATTGAAATAGAACAGTGCATAGCACTAGTTCAGCCATCCCCTCGTGCTGGTAGAGCATATCAGGAGCAAAACGGTTATAAATCATTTCCTATTAAATTGTTTCATTTTCAGCAATTGAGAACTTCTGTCTCATGAGGAGTCCACACCATTATTCTCTACAGCTGTGCTCATTACTGATCACAAAAAGCAGACTAGTCTCCATGGATTAATGTTCTGCTCGTTCCATATATCGATGCAGCAGCTGTTGTTCCAGGAATGCTCACAGGCTGCTTTGTCAGCCATTCGCATCCAAGCTTTCCTAATAACAGAGGATAGCTTAAAGCAGATATTAACACAAGTCTGGCTTAGCTTGTCTGCAACCTGTGAACTCAAGCAGTGAAAATACTTGGACACACCACAAAAACACTGCACTTTTTCTTTCAAAAAGAGCTCTGCAACAGTCAAGGGAAGGAAGTGAAATTGTTTCCCTGGAGCCATTCTTACAAGTAGCTGTCTGCATGCTCAGAGCAGCTTCTAGGTGCTGACCTTCAACTTCCCAGTGTGACAAAGCACTGTGCGACTTACTTCTTCCCACCCCCTTGTAATAAGGTGCTTTTACAGCTGCATTTCCCCATATTTATACTGTAACTATGTCCTTACAACTTCTATCCTGAGGTATTGTTATTAGCTAGAAAATACACCTTATCCTTTACCAGAACTCTCAAACAGCACTTCATCCAGAAAGTCACTTCTGCAAGCAGCTGAGGTGTCAGCAAGAAAGTCTGAGTTTCCTCATTACCTCTCCTGTGTCTCTCTCAAGGTAAAACCTTACTCAAATGTTCCACTACCCACAGGCAAAATGTGAAGGAGCTTTCGCACCCAGTCTGAAGCACAGTTTCAGAGTTGAGACAGTTCTTAACCTGCTTCCAGGCTCTAACCATACAGAGAAAGATGGTGATTGATAGAAACAGAATACAGCAACTTCAGTTTTTGTCAGCAGTCAGACATCAGGGGATCCACAGAGGTGTTCCTCCATAAACCCTAACAAATAATGGCAGATGTGCTCCTGTACTTGAGGTTAAAAAGCTGGGGAACCTTTAGGTTGTCTACTTCTATTTCCTCCATCTTTCTTGAGACACTGCATTTCCCTCAGCTACCTCCAAACACATCACTTCCAGAAAATAGACCCAAGTCCTCGTATGAAACACTGCAAACAAGGCAAATCACCACTTTCCTTGCTAACAACCTAAATAGAAAATGCCATGTCAGGGTTCCCTTGGGCTCTCATCTGCTGCAGGAGGGCCAAAGAGATGCCAGCAACAGGGCAGACAGCACAGTGCTCACCAGAGGGCACGGAACACCACTCAGAGCCCTCCCTGCCATGGACCAGGGCAGTAGAGCTAATGCAGCAGGCACCCTGCAGGCAGAGCTCAAAGACTCTTACTTTGCACCCTGTGTCATTTGCAAATGACAAGGCAGGTTTAGGATGATGCCTAAACTGCACAGTGCCACGGTAAGGCAATGATGTGAAAAATGGTTTGAAGAACACAGCTGAGGCTGAAGCTCTTTGCTGGCATTCTTCCAGCCCACTTGTTCTTGGCTGCTACCTTTCTCACACAACAACTATCCCCATCCCCTCCAAAAACCGCACAGGGTGAACTGCACCTACAGCTATGCATTTCAACCCTTAAACAGCAAGGGAAAGTGTCCTGCCTTTAGCAATGCTCACAGGTCTTTTTTGCCCTATGACTACTAGTCCACACCAGTTTGACAGGTCTCTGACCGCAGATTTCAGAGATGAGGGAAGGATGAGAGCATTTCCAGGCTTAACTTCTGCTAAAACAAGATCCAAATACACTCCATCACTCCAGGAACCAGACAGAGATCAGCAGGTTTCAGGTGCAGGAGCTGCTCCTCAGCACTGCACAAGTAGTGATGCCTCAGGGGATTTGCATCTGCACTGCAGCATGAAGCACAGGATGTGCGTCTTTCCTCCTGCCCCAGACTACAGCCTTCTCAACTCCAGCTGACTGAAGGAGCCAGATAAGGGAGAGCTGATAACAGTTTCATTGGACACATGGTAATCCTGTGATCAGAATTGACAACTCTGATACAGCAGCTCCACAGTACACACTTTCCATTGGGGACTCCTCCCATTTCTACCTTTGCCCAACTTCTGCTGATAATAAACTACGGAAATAAGCACCAAGTTGTAAAGTCACATGCTCTGTAAATGACAACCCCTGGGCCCGGACACAGCCAAGCCACAGTCCACTGCCTGCCACACGTGCAGGCACCATGCTGTCCTCCCCTTGCAGTCACGAGCTGATCATCCAGTGAGCCAGCAGCAGACGAGAGGGACGGTGCCATCAGGTTGGCTGTGTGCACAAGGCGTGCATGTGGCAGGGGCAAAGATTTGCTGTTTAGTTCTACCAATGCAGTGTCACAGCTGGTGAGCACCAAGCACTCTGCTTTGCAAGAACAGGCCGTACAGAGCATGACACTGTGAGAAGTGCTTTACGGCTCTGTAGCATGGGTGTCTGGACATGAGACAAAGCACGTACCCTCCAACACTCCACACAGGTAGGTGTCCACATGTGTCTTGAATATCTCCATAGAAGGAGGCTCCACAACCTCTCTGGGCAACCTGTTCCAGTGCTCTGTCACCCC